TGCTGGGCGGCAGAACCAGCGTGCGCTGCAGCTGCTGTACGTCGCGTGCGTAGACACCCTCTTTGCAGTCCACGGTGAAGAGCAGCTTAGCCAGCGAGTTTCTGTCCTCGAGGCTGTGTGGGTTCTGCACCCAGGATAGGGACCCAGCGCTCAGGGCCTCTGTAACAATACGATTCTTCTTCTCCGTCTCAAGAACGATGTAGAAGTTGCAGCCTGTGCGGGCATCCTTGGCCAAATGAGGCTGCGACTCCTGCTCCATGGCCTCCACGTAGACCTTGCACTTCACAAGCCGCTCCCGGCCCAGCGCATCCTCTGACTCCACAGCCTTAGCTTCCCAGGCGGCCGCGCCGCTGGAGAACACCACTACGATCGCCTCCGGCCCGTCCACCTCCTGCGTGGTACGCACCTGCAAGGCGCAAACACCGTTTTCCATCGTTTCCCACCAAAAGCTCCTACAAGCAACGCATGCACAGCATGCACTTCATCATGGGGCAAAAGGAAGCGGCTGGGGCGGCTGGGGGAAACGGACGCGCCTCCAGGCTTCCGATCTTGTAGATGCGGAACACGATGCCGTCCTCCGTGACTTGGTTGAACTCGGGCGCGGCGGAGGGCAGCACGTTCTCCAGGAGCCCGCGCTGGAAAGCCTCGTCCACCTCCAGCTTCTTCAAGCCGAACTTCGTGGGCGCCGTGTGTGAGACGCGGCCCTCCATCTCGACCTGAAAGCGTGGCGTCCAGGAACGTGGGAAATCCAAGCCAGGGTTGGTCACGGCAAAGGTCTTGTCACTGAAGCGCTGCTTGCGGCGCTCGCGCAAGGTCTTCTCCTCGCCCACCAGGTTGCGGACCTTGGTGATGTACTCAAGGTTGGGGTCGGGCGGGATGAAGGCATCCCCCTCTTCGGCACGGTCACACTGCGGCACACCGTAAACGTTCAGCAGGAGGCTCTGGTCCTCTGCCTTCACGCCGGCAAAGGACTTCTGCTGCAGGCTTTGGAGGAATGCTTTGCCCAGCAAGGTGCGGCCCTCTAAAGAATCTGCATCCCCGCTGCAGGGTGGCAAGCGCCCTGCAAAGCGTTCCTCTGTGGACAAGGAGAACTTGTCCAAGTTCAGGTCCACACCCTGTGGCATCTCAGGCCGCTGTCCCAGCTGGAAGCGCTGGGGCATGAACATGGGGCGACCCGACTGGGCCAACTGAACTCCCGGCACACTGGGCTTTTGGCCCTGCAGGGCATGGCGCTGCGCCAGCTCGAAGCGATCAAGGCCAAACTCCACGCCGCCGTAGATGGCTTGGAGATTGCTCTGGCCCCCGGTGACCATGTCCACCAGTCGGCCTTCCTTCAGCTTGATCCGGGAGTTCCCGCGCATGTTCCAGAGCTGGGGGATCTGAGGGTAAGGCTCTGGCTCGGTAGACTTCACAATCTCATCTGCCAGCTTGTACCAGGTGGGGTCCAAGCGAGCTTTGGAATCGATGAGGTACTTGGCCATGATGGAAGCCTTCGCCAACTCCCGCAAGTGGAAGACCACGCTCTTGCGCTCGGCAATCAGGTCGAAGTTGCGCGTGAAGGCATCCGCAAACTTCTTCAGGGGGTGGTGCGGAAGCGTCACGGGGGCATCTTCCAGACCCTTCTTGGTGACCACCTGCTCGCGTGCCTCGACACCCATCTTCACGTGCGGGATCAGCGCGTTGTCTTCGGACATGCGGATCTCGGCCTTCTTGACCACGAACCACTCACGGCCGGCCCAGGACTTGTCTTTGTCCTTCATCTCCGACCAATCGAAGACGCTCAGCATGCCGACCACCTCAGCCCGTTCCACGGCTCTCCCGCCCCACCCCGCCACCTGGCCACCTACTACCCCTGGAACCTGGAACGCATCGCAACGCATGGCAATGTATCGCATTGCAACGCATCGCAACGCATCTTGGGATTATCCAGCATGGGGCTGCCTGAGGCCGCGGCAGGCATGTCGTACTCTCCAAGCGCCAACTCCTTCAGGAAGTAGTCGGCCTGGAACATCACGTCGCCCACGCTGGTCCCGGCAAGCCAACTCGGCTCGTAGACCTTCTTCTGCGGCGTCTTCTCCAGGTTCTGTGGGTCCACAGGGTCCAGGGAGAAGAGAGGCTCGCGGGAAGCAGTCTTGCGCACCTTCAGCGCAAGGAGGAGGTACTCCAAGTTCACTGCGGCAGAGGGCTCCGAGGTCGCCGCGACCTTGACCGTGCGCGACGCGTCGTCAAGCACCAGGCAGCACAGACCCTGAGGAGCAGGGCTGCAGCCCATGCGTTCCGCAAGCGGCGCGCTCTTGGGCACGCTCTCCACGCGCCAACCAATGTCATACTCCCGGCGGTTCTTCTCCTTCTTGATGTTCTCCCGCCTTATCCGGGCGTCCTCCTCACGCTGAGCATCCTGCGTCAGCACCTGGGCCATGCACTCCGTGTGCACGCACGCCTGCTTGCCCTCGCGGCCCTGGTAGGCGAACTCCCCAACTGGCAGCGAGCAGCGCGGGCAGAGGGGCACCTCCTCGCCCTGGGACGTGC